TAGTGAAGCATCACAGGAATGGAGAAGTAAGAATCCTATGTATTCAACTTTGATGTGAAGACAATTAATGACAATTAATGACATGGTGGGGCATGGGGGAAGTGGAGATCAGACTGAGAAGGAGTGAGGGGGTGTGGGCAAAAAATATATTTATATATATAAATAATAATGTTTAATTCTCATACAAACTGGATTTAATTTTGATTAAAATTAATCACAGGGATCATCATTCAACATTGTCTGGGTCACATTGCTAAATAAGAAAGCACATTCTGAGAAAACACACAATAAGTCTTCTTTGAAATAATGTAAACCATATGCAAATTTGTATTACCATGGTGCCACCAATTTGGAACAATACATAGAATTCAAAGTATGGACATTAAAAATTTTATCCTGTACATTTCTACAGTGCTTGACTTTTCTTTTCTTTCTTTCTTTCTTTCTTTCTTTCTTTCTTTTTTTTTTTTTTGCTTGCTTGCTTGACTTTTCAAAATGTTTTCAAATAAAAATTATGTGGCTTGGCAGCACCTGTAGCTCAGTGGGTAAGGTGCTGGCCACATACATGGAGGCTGGTGGGTTCAAACCAGGCCAGCTAAACCAACAATGATAATTGCAACAACAACAACAAAAAAAATAGCTGGTTGTTGTGCCAGGCACCTGTAGTCCCATCTACTTGGGAGGCTGAGGCAAGAGAATTGCTTAAGCCCAAGAGTGTGAGGTTGCTGTGAGCTGGGACACCACAGCACTCTCCCCAGGGTGACAGCTTGAGAGTCTGTCTCAAAACAATAAAACAAAAAAAGAAACAAGAAAAAAAAAATGTGTGGCTTAAAATTAATCAGTAAAATGGCCGTATTGATTCAAGGTAGGAAGTTCTAAGATTTGATATAATGTGTCAATTCATTAATATAATTCAAAAATCTTTGATTGATTAGATTTCTGGCATAACCTCTATTTTATTCACCCAGGGCCTTACTTTAGGACATCTATTTCATATTCAAAGTATTTATGAACAAATGTTACAATGCCTTTAAACATTTCAACGGTCATAGATGTAAAAATTTAGACAATTTTTATGATTGTTTTAATGTTTTTAATACTTAATGAGTTTTATGATTACTTAGTGACCTTTGCTGCCTTCTTAGAAAGGTTACATTTGTGGTGACTTAGAAGCGCAAGTGTAAATGTGTCATCCTTCCATCTGGTCATCAGCCTGTCCCTCAATGTTTGTTTTGGCCCACGCCTGGCTGTCCCAATACAGAGGATGCAGTGGACACGACGTGGCTGGACTTCCAAGGCCCTGCCCGCATGGGCAGGACGTTGTCCCTGTGTTTGCCTCTGTCCCGGTCTCTATCTTTAGTCTGTGGCTCTCACTGCGCCCACACCTCCTTAACTACGTTTGGAGGCTCGTGCGAGGTGGCCTGAGACACAAAGGCCTGAGAAATCCTGGTCCAGTCTACTGGCAGTTTGGGTTGTGATACCCATTCCCAGGTGCATGAGTGAGAGATCTCGGGATCACTGCGGACACTGGCTCCGGGGAAAATAACCATGGGAGAAAGGCCGTGGAGGGGACACGCGCAATCCCAGGCACGCGAGTGAGAGCTGCACTCAGGTTAGGTGGGTTCGTTATGCAGGACACAGACTGCAACAACATATCTCATGGGTTAAATTACATGTTTATAATAAAATTACAATTAATATGTAGATATAAGAATGGGGAGCTTCAAATGTTCTAGTCTGAAAATAACTAAATCCCGGAGGGGGGGTCAGCACAGTGCGGCCCACGCATCTGAGAGCTTTCATCCCGGACCCTTGTGGCCCTGAGCCGTCCCTGCAAGACCCTGCAGAGTAGTGGGGGCGGGTGGGTTGCCACTTCCCTGTGCCTCAGCTTCCTCAGATGGGTAACAGTGATGGTCACAGCATGGCTTGCCTCATGGGGTTTCTGAGAAAACTAATTCATTTGGAAAAAAGCTAAAATCAATCATGTATGTAGCAAAATACAATTTGTGCTATTATCATTGAATACATCAAAAAAGTCTTGTAGATTAATTGAAGTTCTGCATAGATCCTGGTTATTAGACTTTTCTCAGATTCAAAATATGCAAATATCCTTTCCCACTGAGGAGGTTGTCTATTTGCTCTGGTTATTG